TGAGATAATTTCACTATCTGGAAGGAAAAAGAACAAATGCAATAACAAATTAAGTTTAAAAAAAGAAAAATCATGATAGCACCAGTTCTCACCTTCAATAAATCTTGGTCTGCCTTCTCTTGCTCCGGAAACTCAATAATCATGAAGACAAGTCCACCAACTAATGCGTAAATGATCAAAATCAATACTAATGCCAGGTGTTTAACACCTAAACGACATAGAATGTAATTTTCTATTGGATAATCTGCATCTCTAACTATCTTAAGCTTACCAAAATAATTGTAAAAATACTGTAAAATTCTGGAAATATACGCGGCTCTTGTCTCCTTGTTCTTGTCAAATCTAAAGTAGAACAGTCGTAAGCGGCATTTATGAGTGGACATGAGCTTACTTGATTTCATCCTTAACACTGTGCTCAGTAAAGTCGAAAGTGTAAGTGGGAAGCAAGGGCGGTCGAGATTCCTGACCAGCTGCAGACTGATCAAATGTAAACTGTCTAAAAGGAAATAGATGAAAGGTGGCAGAAAAAAAAACGAAGTAACCATCTACCTGCTTGGGAATTGTGGAAACTGAAAGCCTGAAACGGGGCGACTAGATGGTTGAGGTGTTAGAAGCTCGGACGTGTTCAGATCGTAATCATTCGTGCCAACAAGTATGGAATTTCTGTATTTCTTGCGGACGAATTTTTCTAAAACCTTAATCAAAAGCAGTAAAAGTGCAGTAAAATCACTGAATGAAGAAATAATGATGAATGTTGTAATTTCGAAAGGAAAAATTCCACATAGGCCAAAATGGGCAAGCCTACCTTCATCGCATCTCTCGTCTGATCTTCATCAAGACCTGGTTTGTAACGGCGAATTGGATGACGACGAGACATATTCTGAACACAACAGAGTAAGGATGACTGATTTCAAAGCTAGGTAGTATTTACTTAGGTGAGGAGGATGCCCATCCAGTGAAGTGCCCGAGAGACATCTGGCTGAATGACTGACTCAGCACAGATTGTTTCAGGCAATGTGATGAGTGAAAGCATTACATTTTTCGAAACCAAGCTTTGTATGAGTTCGGATACAAGGCATCAGAAAGTTAAGGAGGA